CCGAGGGTGTGTTTACCACAATTCGGCGAAGACGGGTGAATGTGTGTTTTGCGTGAAGGGTTGAACAGCCACCCTCTTTTCTCGTAAATTATCATCAATCGATGTTATCGCGTTGGCGCTTGTCATTTTTATAGACACTGAAAAATTGTGATTGTCATTTAAATTTATGATTTTCACATGACAAAATTGCCCCAATGCTCCTGGGGGTGAGTCGCCCCCTGGAAATGGCCCTAAGAAAATCACTCCGTAATTCTTGTGGGATTTTTTTTTCGCTATCGCACTGTTCAATTTCATTGATTGCAAACAGTGAAGAGAGAAAAGTGAATTTCACGAGTGGCGAAAATTCTTTTTTTTTTTTTTCAAAACTATCCATGGAGATTAATTGTTTTTTTTCAGCTGTGCGAGAGTGTTTTTCCATTGTGCCACTAGTAAGCAATAATGTGTCAATATTTTATGTTTATTCTGGTGTAATTTAGAGCTTTTCGAGCATGAAATATTTGCTTCAAATTCACCAACTCAGCAAATTGCGCATCGTAAATATCGCCACGCAGTGAAATACTATAAAATAGACCATTTCCAATGGCCCTTAGAGTAAAAAAGTTTACTTCTTTTGTATTGTAGAATTTTTTAATTTCAATTTCACACAGGAAAATAGTGTAAATGATCAGATATTAGATATTATTTCCCAGAGTTGAAATTCAATATGAAGAGAAAATTGAGAGTTTTGTTCGCATAATCCATACTTTTAGCTGAAAAGTAAATACGCGACATGCAAAATATGAGTTTGGTTTTAATTGAAAAACTTTGCACATTAAAACTGCATAACAGTGAACAGGACAGTTTGATAGAGTTAAATTTTCACTCCATTTTCCATACATGAAGCGAAAATTTGTGCAATCCCTTTCGGCAAAAGTTTAATAATTCGCTCACTGATAACAATGCCAAATGCTCCACTGGATCATCTCTGAATTATTTCCTCCATTGACACTTTCGCCCTGGCAGAGGAACTCATATGGAATCAAGGTGAAATTATCTGCATACGAGATTTCTACGGAAAACACCCTTTTCTCATTTTCCCATTAACGTTTCCGCCAATTAAGCATGCCGAAAAAATTCGTGATGGAATTATTTATGGACTGAAGGAAGAGGTGGTCGTTATTCGGGGGAGATTTTCATGATAATTCGGGTGTAAGGAAGGTGGATGAATTAAAAATTAGGGTGTCAAGCTATGGTGAGATATTAACCTCACAGAAGCGAAATTTGCATACATAAATGCGCCTTCAAGCTGTATTTACCACTGAATATAATTACACATTTTGGCTTTGTAGCCAGACAAAGCTTCTCACTTTCCTTTCATGATCATCATTACAATAGAGAGCAAAATGTTACCAATAACTAAATACTATTCAGTGAGTATGAAAGCTAGATTTTTGAATTGTATCAAATTGCAATAATAATCCTCAAAAGCATTTATTGATGAATTGTGATAGGAGACAGAAATGGTCAATGTTTTTCAGAATATGTCGAAGGGGTTGCTAAGATTGGAGTTGCAGTGTCACTTCCAAAAGAACGCTTCCTTCTTCGTGAATCTTCGGTTCATTTATAGTGTATCAAAAATGCATTTTTTATTCCGTTTCAAAAGGTGATTTCACTGTTGTTCTCACAAGAGACACATTTTTAAACTTTAGTATAAGTATAAGTATCAGTACACAAAATATTCTCCTAATTTATGTATTTAACACAGGATTTTTCCAAACTTTAGACCTAAAACTTCTGTCGAAGAAGCTTTTTGACCTTTTATTTAATATATTTTTTTCACCTTGATTTTCCAGTCTTTTATCACTAAATCCCGCACTTTTATTTTTAACATATTTTCCGTTTTTCTAAGGTCTCATAAACAAATCTTTAGCAGTCAAAATCTATATTAGCAACCCCTTGGAGAGAATTCACATAATTCCACCCAATTCCACCTCAATTGCAGTTCTTAACTAGGAAGCCCACTAAAAATCACCCCGTGGACTGAGAGAATCGTGCTGCGACTCTTTTTTCCTGTCTGTGAGAGCGTCACCCTCGCCTATATACTTAGGACAGTGTACAGATGGTTGTTTGTTTGCCGTGAAAAATCGCCGATATAAATTTTCATGCGTGTGTAAATCTCGGCGGCTATTTGTATACGAACCAGCCAGGGAAGTTCTTTTTTTGCCCAGGGCTGTCTGAGTCCCGCTGGGGTGAAATACGACACACAAAGTGGTGCTCCACATACAAGAGACACGCCAGAAGGGTTGGGGGTGCTCGTAGTTTATCCACCGACGACGTGGGAATCTTTATCGAGTTGGTACAATTTTATTGGGCTCAAATGGATAGATTTATTAAAAAGAAAATTCAACGCGACTCTGCGTGTGCAGCAAAAATATTCCATAATGAAGAAGAATGTCTGCAATGCTCAATAAAAATATTTCAGCTAATTTTTCCCAAAGATTTCCACCCAGAAATTATGCTTGAAAAAGTTTTTCCTACTTCTGTGAGAGAGAGAGTGAAAAAAACAAGAGATTTATTAACAGCAACAGTGATGAACTGAAGAGATTTCTAGTGCATGAGGAAAAGTTTCGCGCGGGAAATTTTTCTGGAAGCGAAGGGCGAGAAAATTCGGTGGAAATTGCACTCAGCTGCAACTTTTCTTGTTTGTCCGGGCAAAAATGTTAGGAGCGCCATTGTGAGAACACACACAAAAAAAGTCCATTAAACGCAAATAGTTCTTCACTTGTGGGGGTGTGGGGGTGGGAAATAGGAACATCGCCCCGCATATATTCTGTGCAAGAGAAAAATATCCGTGGGAGAAGATGATTCACGGCCAACATAAATTGGGCGACATTCTCGTTTGCCAGCAAACACACGGAGAATCTATGAAAAACACTTGTCTCAAGATATTGCAATGCTGAAACGTGTTCGAGTTTCCATGGAAATTGGCATCTGCTTCATTCACATGACTAATTAAAAATCCCCGACAGTCAATCGCCGAGTGACCAGCGATTTCCTTCATGTGGAAAATTGTGTGGAAGATATTGCAACATCTGCGCCCCTTTTTGCCCATGGCAAAATCTCGACAGACGGTCAATTTGCATGGAAAGTCAGTGGAATCACTGGCTGTGCTAAGCCTTCAATCGATCCCGAGGGATGCAGCTTAATCCCCACATTTATTATTGGCAATCAACTGACATTTGACGCTGATTTGAATTTGAATTTAAATAGCAACACATGTGTGTCCGAGCGAGCCAATAGAGCTAAAAAAGAGCAGTTATTTTAGCTAAAAAATGACTTAAGGTGACTGAGCTAAAATTTTAGCAGCTCTCGGATAAAAGGTGCTCAGCCGAAGTATTGAAATGGAAACTCAATAGCGTTACAAAGTCAGCAATTTCAAGTTTGCTTCAGTTAGCTAATTTTTCATCAATTTTTTTTTAAAGTAACTTTTCAAATTTTGCATGAATTTCTCTCAATTTTGAGAGTAATTGAGTGTTGCTATCACGAAGTATATTATTGAAATTGCATGATTTTACATAATGCGACATCTGTGCATTCAAGTGCGTATAAGTACTTTGATCGAATTGCTGAGTTCTTAGCGAAAGAAAGCTAAAAAAATTAGCTTTTTTTTTAATCTCAACGTTGATATCTTGGCATTTTCTGCTCACTGGGATTTTTCTGTCCAAAATAGCATGGCATGAATTCATGCAGGACACTTTTTACGCACTCCATCATCACTGGCTGTTGGAATTTACATTCACAAGCTGCAGATTACATCTAAGGCCACCTCGTCTTTGGCACTTTCTTAGCGCCGCACTGAGGAGGGAAAGGAGAAAAAGAAGCCCTAACGAAGTCAGTGACAGAACTAAAATTAGCCGACAGAGGAAAATCTTGGGAAAAACCTCGTGCGACAGACAAGACATTCTCAAGAGGCGAGAGAGATTTAATTATTGCATTTTTCACAAGGCAGATTTCTTGTGCGGATTCCTCTCGATTTCCAGCATCCACGCGCGAACGTGACTTTTCCACGCGGGGAAGAAAAAAAATCATACAACGACGGTGGGCAGGAAGTGGGCGGCTTTGGGTGGCGCGCGAGATTTTTCACGCTTCAGCCGCCACAACTACTCCATATACTAATTAATTTCCGCCACGGCCTCGGAGCACCGCGCCGCCATTGTGACAGAATGACAATCTCTTGAGACAATGTGAAAATCCCGTCGGCTCCACTGAGAGACACACTGGAAAATCCATCTCTTTCACTGATGCTGTGAAAGCACAAAGGCGCGTCGCAGTTTTTTTTATAGATGCTACGTGAGATATTTTGTGAGCAAAAATTTCCTCGTCGCACATTTTGATGACATTACACACAAATACACACACACACACACACTGTCTTTTTATAGTTGACTATCGCATTTGTTTTCCACGCTTTTCATCCTCCACTTCGCCTTACACACTCTTCAGCGCCCGACAAAGAAGTGGATTTTTATCCCTCCTCATGAATAACGCGCCCCATCCAGAAGGAGATTCACACGAGACGCATTAATTCCGGGAAAGAGAACAAGGGTGGGTGGCAAAATTTGGGTTGATTAAAACTTTCAAGTGCCGACGAGCCTACATGAGAGTGAGAGTATGTAGGCGTTAATGAGGAAAAGTGCTGAATTATAGAGATTTCTCTGTACTCTAGAGAACTTTCGCAAAGAGCTCAAAAGGGATGTAGTTTCTTTTTATGAGGCACATTTTGAGAGTGGAAACTTTACATCTTGCGCGCATTAATGGCATTTGTCATTGAAGAGGAAAAGTCTGTGTTATATATGAATTTTGTGATAGTGCATATTTTCCACAGAACACCGAGAGGAAGAGAAACCTTAGAAAATCATTCAGTTTGTTCATTTTTCCACTAGAAAATGCCCTGAATATAATATGTTTGTATTTATAATGCTGTATTGCTGCCCACTGACTAAACAACCCCATTTTCCCACCCCTTTCCCCACAGCACTCGGAAGCTGGCCATTTTTCCCGGGAATATTGACTCGCCCGACGAATAAATCAGACGTCCATTCAAATTGGCGCGTGAGTGGGCGACTCTGGGGGATCATAATTCTTGGCGAGACAGACGCCCCTCGAGAGGAGGCAATTAAGCGCCCGGCACATGCACTGGGCGAAGTATTCATTGATGTGTCACATCGTACGAGAGGGATAAAAATACACTGTCGCCCGGAAGCGATTTCTGAACGTCTGACACTTGCCTGCACACAATATCCATTCGCAATTGCTCTCCTCCTCGGACCGAGAAGAATCTTTACACTGTGGGTGGGCTGAGAGCTTTTCCCACACACACACACACACACAAACACACACAAAAGGATGTGTTTCCGGGCAGAAGATTCGAAAGTTTCGCTCAAAGTTTACTCAAGGTTTCGCACAAAGCGCCATGCTTTTTCTGCTGCTCGTGGCAGTTGAGTGACATTTACAAGGACTGTCAAGTGCAGAAGTAATGTTGAATTTGAAAAATTTCGCAACGGACTTTCTCAAATTTCCTCCTAATCTATTCATCTCTTCAATCGCATCGGGAGGAGGCGAACGCCCAGTGGTGAATGGCGAATGGTTGGGAATACCGAGTCTGACAATGTGACATCATCAGCAGAATGGCCGGGGGCGGCAGAGGAGCTCCGAAAAACGCCACCGGATGCCGTCCAGCTCGGGCGGAAGTCGCACGTTGTGCTGTCAAAACGGACCAGCTCTGCATAAATATCCAGCGCCCGAAGGAACTGACACTCGCTGTGAGCCTGCGATGGCTTTTTTGCCATCAGGGCCAAGGGACAGTCTTGGAGTGTGACACTCTGCCCAAGCACGAACGTCATACCTCACGATACAGGCGTGTGAGCTTTTTCCGCACGCCCTCCAGTGACTATTTTAATTTTCTTATGCTTGCGAAAAGTGATTGCACGTCATATTTCATGCCACGTTGAGACTTTTTCTGCCCTTCGCCGCGTGAAGAGTGACAGGGTGAATTTGGAATGCAGGAAAGCTCACATAGGGTGTGATTTTGGGCTGAGACAAGCCGGAAAGGGATTTCTCGCGGGCATTTGAGGACTGACAAATATTGAGTAGAGAAAATGTATTATTTCCGTGTGATTCTATGCGAAATGACAAAGGATATTTATACATGATTTTGATCAATTAACTACTTTAAGCGTTTCTCCTGAGTATTAAATTACGTATCAAATTCCCACTCAAAGTGAACCATGTTAACTTTAAATTACTATAACACATTTAAAAGAAATTTGTGTTGTTTTTGATTTAAACTGAGTCAAAATTATGACTATTTAAGTATTTTTTCTGTTTGAAATAATCAAAATGTCTCATCAAATGTGTCGCCAAATGATGCTGACTTTTCACAGGAAAAGCGTTACAATTCTTGTCGGTTCTCCGTGAAATTTTCCCTGATGAGTGACGTGAGAGGCGCTCTTTGTGCCTCTGCTCCACATTTCGGCACTTGGTATGGGTCGGAATGTGGAAAATGCTTGGAAAGTTGTATGCCCATCGCCATGTACACCATCTGCACATGGATTCTCGCACATCCAAACACTTTCCGATCTCGGGTGGGAATGAGTTTTCGCATTTCGTCGGGATAGACAAAGTTGTGGAAAATTGCTGAATGCGCCATTGTACGTTACATATTTGCCGGAATAATATTCTCCATGCGACTCATACCATCAACTAGACAACAATAAGTTTCGGGGGAAACTTTTCCCTCTTTCCCCCACGCCCCCATTCACTCATGGGGAGCAATCCAATTGCTGAGTGTATGAAATGAATGAAATACAGAACAATATCTAAGCAAATTGCTCAAATGTTTCCACATCGTTTCGTCGATTAGCTTGTTTCCTTTATCCAATGATGCTCATGTCAAAGGCAAAATTAACAATTCTGGACAATTGTTGGACGTTCGCAGGCAAGCGATGCTGTCACTGAATCATCGCTCAATCACATTGATTGCAAACACCTTTGCAATTAGCCTGTGATAATACATAGTCCCAAAATTTCCTCATCTGACTCTTTCACGTGGAAATTCATCAAAAAGCACCCCAGCGTCGCACATTCCCGCCCCTTTAAAGTGCGCTACAGAGAGTTTTTCACTCATTTCCCGCTTGACATGCCGCGCTGCATATTGGAGAATTTAATATTCCACACATTAGCATGTGTGTTCGATATGGAAATCTGGAGGAGAAATTTCACCACAGCATTTCAAGGGGTTGCAAAATATTTCTGGCAAGCACACCCACCCCCAATCGACGATGTCAGAAACTCAATTACCCAAAATCATGTCGCGAGTTTTCCACAAAGTTCCTCGCAATGTTTGTCAAAACAGAGTCTTTGCCAAAAAAAAATTACACTCATTTCACATGGTTTATCAAAAGACACATGATTAAATTTCACTGGCTTGACATCAGATTGAAGGACTAATTAATCGTGGCAATTATTTGATAGTTAAAATGATCAAATTAAGCCAGGAGAGACATTGCAATTGAGTGTGAGTTGGAGAAGTGATAAAAATCCGATTTGAGGTGAAAGCAAAAATGAAAGCATCGCATGGAAAAAAAGTGGGCAAAAGTGCTCCAAAATGAAACATTTCCCATTAAGCTGGAAAACTGGGACGTCGACGTCAAGTGTGGGTGTTTGTTTAATTAAATTTCAATGGGGGAAATTGCAAAGTTTCCCCACGAGCCACCCTTGCAGCAGCCCACTTATGGCCGAGCTCTATCATTTCATCTTTAGCCGTGCAACCCCCGAGAGTGCTAATGAATAAATCTCCGAGCGGGTGGAAAAGAAGAGAGAGCTCGTCAGAAGTTGAGTGCTTTAATTTTCCCTGATCGCAAACAACCAGCTTCAGACCTCATTTGTCAGCCATTCCAATGGACAGGAAGACAAGTGATATCTTCATTTTGGGTGCATTTAATAGTATTTTGGGAAAGTGTCTATGAAATAAAAGCAAATCATTAAATGAGATAATAAATTCCCACTGTTTATTGAGTGCATATTTCATTATTCATGATATGCCATTGATTTAAAATATCACCATAACATTTATTGTTGAATCCTTTGCAAATTTTGTGTCACTGAATAATTCTCTTCAAAAGCAATTTTCTCATTTTTACAGCAATATTTTTGTTGTTTATTGAATTCCTCATCAATAAACATATTGAAACGTGGATCAATGAGAAATAAAATACCCAATAATATTTATTTATTAATGTGTATTGGCATAAATATACCTCTCTGTGATGTTAACTAATTATATAATCGTGGCATTTTCAAACCTCCCTCCGCCAACCAGCCAAACTCCTGCTTTTCCCCCAATTAAGTCATTCTCTGGATGGAAATTCTAGCCTGGTGCTTTTTGCAAGGAAACTTTCTAAACTCGAACTTTTGTCGCTGCAAACCATAATAATGCGACAGACAAAGGCGAAAGATGCAAGATAACTCACACACAACACCATATTTCACCCTCCTATGATAATATTGAGGCCGAAGGGCGGCAGAAGAAGTCCCAAAGTTTAGCAATAGTTTGGCTTGCATATAAATTGTTTAATAACAGCAGCCCAGACATGGCTTCTATGTCATCATGGTCGACATAAGATTCCGCCGTGAGTCAATCCAAGCCAGACAAATTGACGCCCAGCGTCTTCATCTTTCCCATAATTTCACGTCTGGGAAAACGCACTTCCACACAGTCAATGGCAAACTTTCTGCTCACCACTTTGTCCTTCAGAGGCAATTTTATGACGTTGGAATGTGTCTATTAGAGATGTTGCAGGAAAATCCACGAAATTCTAGCTGAGAAATATCAACACAACTCTTTTCCTTTATAGCTTTTTGTATTGAACGCGCACACCTGCTAATCCAGCACACTTCTTCGGAGAATTCTATCAATCCTCCTGGGAAGAGTTTCCCTCCTTTTGGGCTGATTGATAGTTTATGGGGAGGCTTTTTGGGGAGATTCAATTTTCGCGCCTAAAATGGGTTTTCCCGCCCTCAAATTCACTCCTCGCTCCGGTCGAAAATTGGAGGCACACAAAATTCACATGGGGTTCAATTTTGTGTTGAGGAGATGCAAATTTATTTGTTATCATTTGTCACCTCTTGGCAAAAAAAACAGCCGCACACACTTTTGCATTTTTGCCGTGTTTGTGTGTGGCTGGGCTAAAAAAAAGAGCACAACATATCAATGAATATAAAAATATGATGGTGGATTTCAAAAGTTGTGTGGCAGAGTAGGGAAAAAATAGGAAAAATATGAAATTTCGCCACGGAAATGTCAGGGCCGCGGGGGGATGTGAAAACTGCGCGCGGGGGGAGGGTGTAGATGAAATTGTAAATGTATGCTGGCTGTGCTGAGGGTAACAAAATGCACATTTCAACCCTTGTCACAATATCAATTTTTCTATTCACGACTCTCGAGGCGTGTCGAAGAGTTTTGCAGTGAGATCCGGACGGGGTTTGAGTAAATATAGGAAAAATTACATGCCCAGGATTTTCCCCACTGCGCGCAAATGCTTAAAAATGTGAATTGACATAAATCTGGGTGGTGTGCGCGCTCGCCACCCACACCAACCCCTCTCCCTCTCATCCCCCCAACACATCAAAAAATGCCGGAGAAATTCGATCCATTTGTTATTGTTGAGCTGCCGAGGGAGAATGAGAAAAAATTATTTTGTATATAAATTCAAATCGAATCCATAAATTTTCACCACACTCGCGCCACAAAGCAATCATTGCTCAAATAAGGGGAGAAGGTCAGATGTCAAATGGGCGAGTGCCATTGAGATGGAATATTTCTCATGAGTTACCTCCATATTTTATCGGGTCGCCCTCACGGTATAAAATTCAATTTTCCTCCCCCCGCAAAGTCAGGACGAAAAAGTGTCCCAAACGGTTCTCCTTTTGCTCCATTTCCGAAAATTCGCCTCGCCGGACTCTTTTGCCCAGAAATCCATCATTGGACATTTTTTCCTGGTGGGAAATTCTAGGCACAATCGAGAGGAAAATCCATCAAGTAGAAAAAGAAGGACATTTGAGATTTCCAGGCTTGATTTTCAACTTCCCAAAATGATCTGAAAAATACACAAATTGCTTCTTGGCATTTTTAGAGAGAATTTTGAATATTGATAATTCATAAATTATAGAATTTTCTCGAGGGGAAAATTACTAGCTAAAAATCTAATATTTGAATTTTGAATCAAAATCTTAATAAAAATACTCAAAAAACTCACAGGGACAAAATTGACTTTGGGAATTACAATCGGAACTTCTACGCAAAT